ATGACTGAAAAGAAGATTTTTTTTTTTTAAATATATCTTTATTGATCTCAGAGAGAAGAAGGGAGAGGGAGAGAGGGAGAGAGAAGCATCAATGATGAGTTGTCATTGGTCAGCTGCCTCCTGCACACCTCTGACTGGGGATCGAGCCCACAACCAGGGCATGTGCCCTGGCTGGGAATTGAACCTTGATCTCCTGGATCCTAGGCCAATGCTCAACTGCTGAGCCACACCCAGCCGGGCTGAAAGGAAGATTTTTATCTCAAAATAGGAAGAGCCTTAAAATGAGAGCAGTCCTATCACGAAGTTAGCAGCAAGAGCCCGACAGTGGGAGGCTGTCTGGTGAGGAGGTTGCAGAACCTGCACCAGATAGAAGGTTGAACTGGATGGCATCTGTCTAATCAAAGACCCCATGATTCTGTTCTTCAAGCCATCAATGAGCAGATGGACGGGTGGTTTGTTGGAGAAAGCAGAGAGGCTTTCCTTGAGGTCTCTGCCCTCTCTCCTGTCCAGCTCCTTTCTTTTAAAAAGTAGTTTGTCAATTTGTTTATATTCAGTATTATTTTGTATTTGTTTTAGGTGTACCAGTCCCTTTCTCTTTCATTAATTGATACATAATGGTCTTGAAACAGCTTTTACAGACTCCTACTACGCCAAGGCTTCCCAGAGCAGCTTTGAAGTCTCCCGACTTCATTCCCCTGGGTGACACACATGGGGACTGTCACTGACCAGCACTAATGGTATGTACACAGTTCTGTTGGTCAGTTCTTATGCTGCTTTTGATTGTGGCCAAAGAGGCAGGTCTTCCCAGGCTCTGCTCACCCTCTCAGTTATTTGAGGCCTTAGGCAGTGTTCTGATTCTTTCCTTTCTTGGCTGCCCCTGCCCTTACCAGGACTTGTTTGGGGTTCAGGTCTTTGGGAACATCTCAGGAAATAGGACATGGCAAACAGGGGATGCATCATCTTGTTGGGGCCATAGGAAGCAGCCATTTGTGGCATTACTAATACCCCTTCTCTTCATTCCCTGTCACTGGCTGGAATGGCATCTGGCACACTGGATGTCCCTCCCTAGAATTCCTGAACAGCCAGTCCTGGGGCCTGCTGGCAGTGGCAGTTGGTCATATCTGCCTCTAGCTCACTTGTCACCATACAGGGCCTCTTTGGTCAGTTCTGACACAAACTGAAACAAATAATCATCTGTGTGGCCAGAGCCACAGGAATAAGCCGGAATGGTGCTCAGTAGATCCTCCACACAGACTCCTCCCAGGAGCAGACGCTTCCGGTGTGACAGAGCTAGGGGGCTTCGTGTCCACTCAACTCGGCCTATTCTAGAAAGTGGTTTCTGCTGAGCTAATCTACCAAAATCACCCCTGAAGAGACTTCCAATTCCATGATGTGACAGATACTCTGAAATCACTTCTACAAACAGATGCTGGCTGAAGTATAAATTCTTTTGCCCTGGCCGGTTTGGCTCAGTGGTTACAGCATCGGCCTGTGGACTGAAAGGTCCTGGGTTCAATTCTGGCCAAGGGCATGTACCTCAGTTGCAGACTCAATCACCAGCCCTGGTTGGGGCACGGGCGGGAGGCAACCAATCAGTGTGTCTCTCTCACATGGATGTTTCTCTCTCTTCCTTCCACTCTCTCTGAAAAGCAATGGAAAAAATATCCTCGGGTGAGGATTAAAAAAAAAAAAAGTATAAATTCTTTTAAATGCTTAAAAAAGCTAAATTTGCAGGAACTGTCAGCAGCTGGAGAGCTGAGAAACAGAGTGGCCAGCATATGAACTGGCTGTGGCTGCTAGGGATGGGGAGGTGTGTGAGAGGTGTTGCTCTTGAGCGTTAATTTCCATATAAGTATGAGAAATAAGGCCTTGACTCATGCCCTGGAGGAAGCTGGAAGTGGGATCCCCTGCCTGCATAAAGCTGGTACCCTGAAGGTTTCATCCTTGACGAGGTAAGCTAGGAAAAGTTCCCCCACTGGCATGGAGAAAGAGGAAAACTCCCAGGGATAAGGGAGCACAGATCCTGTGAGAGTTTGTAACCATGCACAGGTTTGGGATTCAAATTTACACTGTGTGGTCCAGGAGCTATCAGGCTGAGGAATTACCATAAAAATTAGCCTGAGGCTGAAACAGCTAGAATAAATTTTAAAAAATCTACTGTACGTGCATTTTAGCCAGCAATACAGCACTCCCACAAAGCCCTAGTAAACATGAGCTCCAAAGAATAAACACACACACACGCAGGCACACACGTGTGCATGTGCAGAAACAACCTATCATGGAGGCACAATATAAGCAGGATCAGACTTATAAGAACTTCAGATAACCAATTATTCAATAAAGACTATACAATGTATACATGTTTTAAACAAAGACAAAAGTAGCCCTGGCCGGACTGGCTCAGTGGTTAGAGCATTGACTTGCAGACTGAAGGGTCCTGGGTTCAGTTCTGGCCAAGGGCACGTACCTTGGTTGCAGGTTTGATCCCTGGCCCTGGTGGGGGAGTCATGCAGGAAGCAACCAGTCAATGTGTCTCTCTCTCATGGATGTTTCTCTCTCTCCCTCCCCCTTCCACTTCCTCTGAAAAGCAATGAAAAAAGTATCAAGTGAGGAATTAAAAAACAAAAAAACCCAAAACACACACACACACACACACACACACCTGTAACCACCCTCAAGAGTGCTCATAATCTTGTTAACTCTCCTGTAATCTCCCCATCCGGCTTCCTCCCACCCTCTTGTAATCTTCCTTACATCCCCTCAATTTCAAATGCATTAAAAACACCCCTGCAAAACTGTTATTCTCTGGAGCACTGGAGATTTGTTTCCTGGCCATTGTCAGTTTGGCTCAAATAAACATAAAAATTCTCTGCAGGTTTGGACGTTCTTATATCAACACACCTGCAGAAGGCTTTATGTGAGAAAGTGGAACACGGCATCTAATAATTACAGGCTAAACACCAAATTACCCTGCAGCTCTGATCAAGAGACCAGGCCTGAGTGTGTGTCCCAAGGACGCACTCTCTTTAGAGATTTTTAAATGTGGGTACAGTGCTTGCTTTGGCAGCACATACACTAAAATTGGAACGATACAGAGAAGATTAGCATGGCCCCTATGCAAGGATGACACACAAATTCGGGAAGCATTCCATTAAAAAAAGTGTACAAAGAACCCCTGGTATAAATACAGAGGAGGGCTTTAAAAATTTGTTTGGGGCTTGGTATTTCCCACCAAACCCCGCAGTTCTACATGCTTACTGCAATGATGTCTTTTTAAAATCCCCACCCAAGGATATTTTTTCCGTTGTTCTTCAGAGAGAATGGAAGGGGGAGAGAGAGAGAAACGTCGATGCCCCCGCAGGCTGCCTCCCGCAGGAGCCCGCAGCCGAGGGAGGGGCCCGCCCTGGGCCGAGCTGAACCCCCGGCCCTTCCGGCCGAGGGCCAAGGTGCTAACCACTGAGCAGCTGCCCGGGGCCACCGCAGGGCCTTTCCACCAACCCATTATTTCACGGCCTGAAAGACGACCCTCACTCGAGGAGAGGCATTGCCCGCGCACGTCCGTTTTAGTTTGGTAACCACAGTATCCCCAGCGCCGGGGCTAAGGGCCCCATTTTCCCGGGCGGCCCCGCCTCGCCGTGGCGGAGCGAGCGCCACCGCTTATCCCGAAGCTTTCAGGCTTTACAGATGTTACCCCACCGAATCCTGTCAACAGGGAGACCTGTCCACACTGACATCCCCACCTCACGAGGACAAAAAGCAGAGCGGTCAGTGACATTTGCGCGGGCGGCCGGGTCGCCATGCGCCGGGCGCCTCAGCCCAGCCCCTCCCCGCACCTCCCGGGCCGACGCGGAGCGGTCTCCTCCGCCGCGGCGCCCGTCTCCCTCCGGGGGGCTCCGCCCTCGGGGCCTAACCCCCTTCCAAAGGCCCCGCTTCCTCCCACCGGCACCCTGGGAACTGGGGTTTTAGCAGAAGAATTGGGTGGGGGTGGGCACACAAGCGCCCAGTCCACTCCCGCGGACCGCCGTCTAGCTGTCCGCCGGTACAATCCGACTCAAAACTTTAGTGGAGAAAAGGGAACCCACAAAAAAGTTCACCCTGTGAACCCCAAATTCGGCGGTCCCGGACTCCACGCCCCGAGGGTTTGGCGGACGGCTCCCTGCGTTCTTGCTCCCACCGCAAGTAAAAGCCCGCAGCCCTGTCGGGTTATCGACCAATCTCAGCGGGGCGCTTTGGCAGGAAAGCGACTAAACACT